GAGAGAGAGAGAGAGAGAGAGAGAGAGAGAGAGAGTTTTAACCAGCATCGACAATCTCACATCAAACTCATTGCTCCCACGCATACATAGTCTCAGTTGTCACTTTTGTTGAACAGCTGAATAGCTGACATGTCCTACACTGTTCATATCCCATGATCTCCCCCACGACCTCGCCTATCGTTTCGCCCCGAAACCGTATAGTGCGTTCAGGGATGAACTGTACGTTAGGAGCTGTGGACTACTTAGGGTAGCAGTGGCAGAGAACTGAGACACGTATCGCGCACAGACGAAACCACATGCTCTGGCTAAAGTGCGACCGATCGCATCTCGAATGACCGTCAAGTACTCCTCGACCTCCTCCCACTGCCGAGGTGCGTCAACCTGCCCCGCCAGTTTCACATCAAACTTACAGTTCCTATAACCATGCAGTAACATAATCGAGTCCCCGTCAACGATGAGCTCGTTCCTGGACACGTAAATACTTGCCTCCGTTGAAGTCTTACATCTATTTCTTACCGATATGCAAAGAACCCTAGCGAAAGAGAAACGACAAAGTTCAACATGTACGCAGAAGTACGACACACTCCCCGTCAAGTTGTCCTCGAAGGGAAGGGGATATTTCTCTAGAAACTGGTTCTGTTTCGCACAGTCTAGCAACTCCTCCTTCATCGATGGTCCCCACAAGCGCGGCGAACACGACACGTTGTGCGCAGTCAATGATTAGACAGGTCTCGGGTATGAAATGCTGCAGACAACACCGGCGTGTGTTTCGTCACGAGGATGTGGTCGAGGAAGATGAATGTCCCCCATTCCTGGCTGGAAGCTAGTCCAAGTCGATAGTCAGATGCCCAAGGGCAGTCTTTCATGGTGTTCTCCCAGTCTAATTCGGACCATGCATCGAAGGGCCTTTCAAGCCAGGGCACAACGCTCATCCAACGGTCCGTGTCGAAGTCTTCTCTACGGGCCTCAAGTATAGTAGTCTCCCGCCTTGAACCTCGTATGTACCTCGCGCTAGCATGCAAAGGGAACGAGTAATCGAAGCGGTGAGCCATCGCGAATGTCCTACACACAGAAATGATTGACGACCACAACAAGGAGCCATTGCTAAGGTCGAACTCGCTCACACACCGAGGAGCCATCGCAGTTACACACAACAACCAGGCATTGCGAATGTCCAATACAGAAGGAGAAGACACACAGGACGACAAATTCCATCGGCAGCTATCCATCATCGCGTTCATCGAGTCGAGGTCGATGACGGACAATCGACAAAGCTCAGACGGCCGTCGTCGAGTTCGACTCGACAGTGGCCAGAGGTCTCGGCGCTTGTCGACCGTCGAGTTCGACTCGACGTCGGTCGTCCGGCCCGACTCGACGACGCCTACGGGCCACTGTCGTGTTCAACTCGGCGACGCCCTACTGGCCGACCGTCGAGTTCGACATGACAACGGTCGGCTGGCCACTGTCGAGTCGAAGTTGACAGCCGGCCAGCGCCAAGGCCTCTGGCCATTGTCGAGTCCGACTCGACGATGACCCGGGCCGACGCCAAGGCCTCTGCCCACTGTCGAGTCCGACTCGACGATGACCCCGGGCCAGCGCCAAGGCCTCTGGCCACTGTCAAGTCAAAGTCGACAGCCGGCCGGCGCCAAGGCCTCTGGCCACTGTCGAGTCGAAGTCGACAGCCGGCCAGCGCCAAGGCCTCTGGCCACCGTCGAGTCGAAGTCGACAGCCGGCCATCGCCTGGGGTCATGGTCGAGTCCGACTCGACGATGACCCCGGGCCGTGGTCGAGTCCAACTCGACAATGACCCAGGCCGTTGTCGAGTCCGACTCGACGATGACCCCGGGCCGTTGTCGAGTTCGACTCGACAATGGCCATACGACTTGGCGCTGATCGACAACGGCCTGGGGTCATCGTCGAGTCGGACTCGACAACGGCCAGAGGCTTTGGCGCATGCCGGCCTTCGAGTTCGACTCGACGACGCCCTACTGGCCACTGTCGAGTTCGACTCGACGACGCCCTGCTGGCCGACCGTCGAGTTCGACTCGACGACGGCCGGCTGGCCACTGTCGAGTCGAAGTCGACGGTCGGCCAGCGCCAAGGCCTCAGGCCATTGTCGAGTCCGACTCAACGATGACCCCGGGCCGTGGTTGAGTCTGACTCGACAATGACCACAGGTCGTTGTTGAGTTCGACTCGACGATGACCCCGGGCCATTGTCGAGTTCGACTCAACAATAACCCCAGTCCGTTGTCGAGTCCGACTCGACGATGACCCCGGGC